CAATTTCCAGGTCCCCTTTGTAATTATTTACACAGTGAAAGATGCGCAGGACGGACTGGGCATCTGGAGCACCGGGACATTTCCCGGTGGCCTGACCCGCTCACTGTTTGCCGAGGAGGACTAAAGGCTCAGTTTGGGTCACACTTGATTATTTTAAATAAATAATCCATGCCGCTCGTGTGGCTCACTCCATCAATCAGCCAATCGTGTGACATGTAGAATCTTACGTTGAAAACCCGCGAAAGAGTGAGTCCGTGAACGTCGAAGAGCGAAGCATTGAGGGCCTACTGTACACCAGAATACAGGAAAGGGCATCTACTTTATTCAAAATTCTATGGGGGAGGACCCCAAGACCCCCCACCAGCGTGTCTCCCCCGTGTCTCCACAAATGCTTTTGACGCCACTAGCACCATTGATCCCCATGACCCAGAAAGAAAGAGATGATTCAAGATAATTGATGGATGGATGGATGGATGGATGGATGGATGGATGGATGGATGGATGGATGGATGGATGGATGGATGGATGGATGGATGGATGAATGGATGGCTGGCTGGCTGGCTGGATGGATGTATGGAAAGTAGGTATTCTGGCAGAAATTTTATGATGTTACAGCAGGAGGTTCATCCAGGCTGCACCAAAAGTGCTAAAGCTAGCTATGGCTAGCTGTGGCTAGCTTTAGCACTTTGTATGCACAACTACAGAATTCTGTGTAAATAATATGTAACTTCAAACTGCCATTGATGTAAATGTTTATAAAACATTATTCACACGAACTACAATTTTTTTAATTTTATTTTTTAACTTTAGATGTTTTATGTCAGAAGTAATTTACCTTGGTATTAACTGTGTTTGAGCTAATTGTTTTCTTGCCAATACAATTTCTCCCCCAAACGTACATCATTTAAAGAGTTATATGTAGGAAAACTATTAAATGTTCCAAATATTCCCATAGAACATTCCCTCACAAAATTTAAATGATCTCTTAAGTATGCAGTTGTAAAATAAGTACTAGAATTAATTTATTCATTGGCTAAAACTGAACTTGTCTGTATATTTAACTAGAAGCCCAGACAGAACTTACTTAAACATTTAGTTCATTACGTTTTTTTTTCAAGTCAGTGAGTTAATGCTTCTTTTTCTCTAAGTAACAGAGTGTTTTTTAAGCTAAAGATTAATGTATCTATATTTATGTTTTTAATATTACTATAAATTACTTATTCAGCAATTAGTTATGATTCAAACAGAAAATGCCGAATCAAAAACCATCACTGATCGACCTGTTTTTGTTCTAGATCACCTCCGAGGTGTTACACACTAAAACTGAACGTTGTATAAAATGATGGTTGTAACACAAGAATCACTCTTATTCACAAGTTCATAATAAATTTGATTATTTTACAAGAACACAGTAATTAACTCGTAATGTAAAAAAAATAAATAATTAATGATAGTGATTAATTAAGGGGGCAGCACGGTGGCGCAGTTGGTAGAGCTGCTGCCTCTCAGTGAGCAGGTTCAAATCCCGGCCCAGGACCTTTCTGGGTGGAGCTTGCATGTTCTCTCCGTGCATGTGTGGGTTTTCTCCATTTTCTTCCCACAGACTAAAAACATGTATGTTAGTCTGATTGGTAACTCTAAATTGTCTCTAAGTGAGAGAGAGAGAGAGTGAATGGTTGTTTGTCTCTATGTGTCCCTGTGATGGACTGGAGACCTGTCCAGGGTGTCCCCCGCTTCTTGCACAGTGACTGCTGGATGTAGGCACCAGTGACCCCCGTGACCCGAGAAGGAAGAAGCGGGATGGATGGATGGATGGATGGATGGATGAATTAATTAAGGTTGTTCCCAGCATCTATTGTTTTGTCACTTTTGAAGATGATTAAATCACAGGCTGACAAAGTCTTCAGTCATCAATGTAAAGTTAATCATTAAAACATTTATATTTCATCTTTGGCCTCAACACCGCTCCAAATATTTTAAATTAATATAATCTCTTTACGCAGCACGGTGGCGCAACTGGTAGAGCTGCTGCCTCTCAGCGAGCAGGTCCCTGGTTCAAACCCCGATCCAGGGGCCTTTCTGGGTGGAGTTTGCATGTTCTCTCCGTGCATGCGTGGGTTTTCTCCGGGTACTCCGGTTTCCTCCCACAGTCCAAAAACATGCATGTTAGGCTAATTGGTAACTCTAAATTGTCCCTAGGTGTGAGTGAGAGAGTGAATGGTTGTTTGTCTCGTTTGTCTCTATGTGGCCCTGTGATGGACTTGCGACCCATCCAGGGTGTACCCCGCCCCTCGCACAGTGATTGTTGGACATGGGCACCAGCGACCCCCGTGACCCAAAATGGAATAAGCGGGTAAAGAAAATGGATGGATGGATGGATAATCTCTTTACTTTTCTCGTTTGATCTACACAATTCTAACAAAAACGCTGTAGTACACTCACTGTGCCAGCAGGTGGCGAGAACGCCCACAAAGAGAACATTTTGACCAAATAACAGTCTTATATTTAAACTGCTTGTCTATAGGGAACATTTAACATGCCAGGTCTTTTAAATGAAAAACGATGAATACATTTAAATTATTTTAAGAGCTGTCAGTTAAAGTATTTAATCCTCGCTGTGCAATCAATCAAAACAAACCTTTGGCCCTCAATGTGGAAACGAGCGACTGTTTATAAGATGACAGCTCGTGCTAAAACATTTAGTGACGTCATGAAAACAGTCGCCATAATTTAGACCTTGGCCTGTCAGACCGAGCCATGTAAGGCTAACCTCCGTCTGAAAGTGGATAATTAGAACATCTGAATATTTTTACTGTAAATATTTTGTTTTTTATCTTGTATCTTTGCAAACTCAAAGAAATATTTGCACTGATCGTTTTTATTTCGTGAGCAGGGCTCGTGCAGCATGAAATAAAGCCCCAGCTGGCCTGGTCTTTCAGCTGTCACTCGTCCTCCTGTGTTCTGTCAGGACGGTGTTTTTCTCATCCTTGACTCTGATGTAAACTGTTTAGAGCAGAAACAAGTTCTCAACTTCCAGACCCGAGCTCGGCCGCTCCTTAAAAGGCCATCAGATGATGATGATGATGATGATGCTGTCACTCCTTCTGCTCATCTTTGCTCCTCTCCGATGCCACGCAGAGATTCAAACTAAAATCTGATGTTTTGTTCCACCCTCTATTATTGAAATTCTCAGCTTCCTCTTTCTGTAAACTGGACCAGAGCTCAGTAAAACAACATCCAACCCACATTATGAGCGGGCGGTGCTGAAACGAGAGAGCATCACATGAAGCAGTGCTGACGGACAGGACCCGTCCCTGCAGAACAACGACAACGGTGATGGACACGACGACGCTCTGTGTGTTTAAACCGTCACAAGCTGACTCTTTTAAAGCAACGATTTAATCCTGAATGATCCGCGGGTCTCACTCATCAGAGGTCTGACAACTGGAGGACTTCACCGTACAGTTTCTGAACAGTTCATATTAGTGACTGTTTACACTCAAACACAAGTAACGTCAGTGAAACCTGATGCAGGTTTTGTGTTGTAGAGACGCATTTCTGGAGAAAACCACTAATACGCTACATATCTCAGTTTGAAGACGTTTGATTCTGACATGACTGACGAGCTAACGGCTAGTCCACGTGGACGTTATATGGTTATTTACATCGATTTTAATGCTTATTCGTAAGCGCAAGTAGCAGCAGCAGCTAGCTGTAGCACTTCTGGTCTGGTGCAGTTGTTCATTAATACGGTCCCAATGGACCCGTTTTCAAAGCTGCTTATATAAACGCTGTAATATTTCATGTTTTACACAATGCTGTCAGCTTTTTGATTCAGGCAAAAATATGGAACTTTATGAAAATAATTTAAATGACTCATTTTGATATCTTAAAATTCTCCATTAAAAATAAATAAAACTGATTGGTCTACAGTGTAAAGAAGACCTACGATCACAATCACTTTCAGCATGCCAGAGGTGTTATTTCTGTTTAACAACAATGTTAAAAGCATTGCATTCATTAAACAGTGACCAATAAAACTGAATAATAAACGTCCACGTGTTTAAGGTGCAAACAATGTGGGGACCGGTCCTTTTCTGTTGCAGGCCCAGCATGAGCTGCGTGCCAGCTCTGATCTGGTTCTGTTCAAAGCCAAACTGAAGACCTATTTATTTAAACGGGCTTTTAATGTTCAACTTTTATTATTTTAGTATTTAGCATTTTTAAAATCTCTTTTACCTTCTTTTATTGAGGCTCTGTTTTTAACGGGCACTCATTTATTGTGCCCTGTTTTTATGTTTGATCTTGTAAAGCACTTTGGTCAATGTGAGGTGTTGTTGGAAGGCGCTATAGAAATAAACTTTATTCTTCATTATTATTATTTAAGGTGTGAAAAAGTAAAGTATGAGGCAGGCAGACCGCTGGAACAACAATGCGGGGGGGGGGGGGGGGGGGGGATAATGGGGGAGATGACCAGTTCTCATGTGAAGGAAAATTTATGTTTGGAATTAAAAAAACAAAACATATTGTTACGAAACTTAGATTTGTCAAGAATTAATTAGAGATTTATTTTTAACCCAAATAACCCTAAATTACACAGGAAGTGCTACAAATGGCTGTTGCTTTTATTACGTTATTATTACCCCCCACACACACACACACACATCTAAATATAAATATCTAAATAGTGATGCAACCAGAAATTGGCAGCAGTGTAAAGTTTATGAATAAAAACAATGTTTACGCAGAAACCACTGTGAGCAAACCGACAGCTACAACAGGTAAGATATTTACTGTTCATAACCATTCCACTTAACCCCACACATCCCTATAAACTATCCGTTTAAAGTACAAACAGGTCATGTTTGTTTGGGTTTATTCCACAAACTAACCAGCTGCATAAACTGGCATCCACAGGGGGGGTCACTGAGCTCCCACCTGAGGGGTGGGGGGTCACAGGTTCGAGTCTACAGCTGGTTACCCACAGACAGAAGACGTACCTTGCTCTTGACCTCAGCAGAGAGTCCGAAGGCTGGGCCGCTCCTGAAATGTGTCGTCATTCTGCAGCTGTTTCCACACAGAGCTGAGGAGCAGGCGGCTTCAAAGATGGAGACAGCAGCTACCAGTTCTCTGTCCGAGGCAGGAAGTCCGCATAAAGCCCGGGAGGTGATCAGATTCTACTCACACACGATGAGTTTAATTAAGAGAAGCCTTCGTCGCGCTGAGGACCCGCTGTGAAGCTGACAACTCCGACACGTTCCTGAATCTTTTTAAACTCTTCCCATGTGTGCGCGCGCTGATTGGTCAGGAGCGCCGTCCAATCAGCGCGCAGCCTGGGGAGTGATGTCATGGCTCGGGCATTACATGTGTTCACTGTCAGTTTTTCCACCTTCAGGCCGGTCGGGATGATGCTCAGCCGTGTTTGGGACAGCTTCAGCTGCAGTTATAGCACTGGTGACATTTAGCTGCTGTTCTGTTACCACTGGTCAAATCAATATTCAGTCAGCCGGTGAAATTTGTTTGATTCTACTTGAAAGTGAATGAAATAGCATCTCGGGAACTGGAAAATACAAAAACACATAAGTTCATCCCCTGAATTGCATCTCATAAACCCAGATTTTATTCACAGGGAAAACAAATGTTGAATATTTATATTTCTCTTTAATAAACGAGTCTCCGAGGCTCAATGGGATTAACCTGTAAAAATAAAAGTTGAATTAAACAAAGTATTTGTAGCGGTAAATGGACTGTTCTTATATAGTGCTTTTCTATGTTATTTCAAGATACACAAAGCGCTTTACACTACAATAAGTGTCCTCATTTACCCATTCATACAGCACTCTACTAGATATCTACAAAGTTAATTGAACAAATCTTTCTAAAGAGACTAATCAGAGCTTTATCACATTCAGACACTGATGGAACACACATCAGAGGCTATGAGGGGTTCAGTGTCTTGTCCAGGGACACTTCAGCATGTGACTGCTGGTGGATTTGAACCCCCAACTCTTGCATTGGAGAACGACTGCTCTAACCACTCAGCCACAGCCGCCCCTGTAAAGATGGATGGCACGGTGGAGCAGTTGGTAGAGGTGTTGCCTCTCAGCGAGAAGGTCGCCAGCTCAAATCCCAGCCTGGGGCCCTTGCATGTTCTCTCTGTGCATCCGTTTCTCCGGGTACTCCGGTTTCCTCACACAGACCAAAAACATGCATGTTAGACTGATTGGTCTCATTAATCTATGTGGCCCTGTGATGGACTGGAGACCTGTCCAGGGTGTCCTCTTCCTCTCACACGACTGCTGGACAAGGACACCAGTGACCCTTGTGATCCAAAAGGAAGAAGTGGGTAAAGATAATGGATGGATGGATGGATGAATGGATGGATGGATGGATGGATGAATGGATGGATGAATGGATGGATGATGGATGGATGATGGATGGATGATGGATGGATGATGGATGGATGGATGGATGGATGA